ATTGATTGATTGATTGATGTTTATTAGCTTTCTCAGCTATTTGTTGTACATATTTTACATGCATGTATGACACACTTAATTAACTGTACTTATAATATACTCTTATAACATTCTCTTAAATGTTATCAGTTTTTCACAACTTTTGACCTCAGTTGGTAGCGCGTTATACATTTTCACTCCTTCATAGAACATGCTTTTTTGGGCACTTCTAGTTCTCCTGAATTCTATTGCGATATTTTCCGCTTGTCGTGTAACCCTATCAGTTTTAGATGTCACAATAATGAACTTATTCGCTACTTCTTTCGGCATCAGATTCTTTACGCCCTTGTAAATATATATACACACATTAAAGTATAGTCTCTGTCTAACACTCATAAACTGAACCGCTTGTAACATAACTTCTATCTTTGTATACCTGCTGCATTGCAATATGACACGCATCGCTCTGTTTTCCGCTATCTGCAGTTTATTGAGAGAGAGAGAGGCCCCGTAAACCGGAATACAGAAAGTGAATAGATATATCATAGTGACTAAAGTGGAAAGTGAAAGTAAGTATACTAAGAAACAAGTTTAGGCTAATGCTTATATATAGTTACTCGTGGAAGTTCAGGGTGTTCAGGTGTTCCGCTCCGTAGTTCCTTGTATCTACGTACTGTTCGTGGAAGTCCAGGGTATCCAAATATTCCGCTCCGTAGTTTTCTGTATCTAGGTGTCTGATGGGGATGTTCAGGGTGTCCAGGTGTTCCGCTCCGTAGTTTCTTATATCTAGGTGTCAGACGTGGAAGTTCAGGGTGTTTAGGTGTTCCCCTCCGTAGTTTCTTGTATCTAGCTCCATAGTTTCCTGTGTCCAGGTGTTGGATATGGAAGTCCAGGGTGTCCAGGTGTTCCGCTCCGTAGTTTCTTGTATCTAGCTCCATAGTTTCCTGTGTCCAGGTGTTGGATATGGAAGTCCAGGGTGTCCAGGTGTTCCGCTCCGTAGTTTCTTGTATCTAGGTGTCGGACGTAGAAGTCCAGAAAAGTGTGTAACGAGCGCCGCTTTGGCGCTTCGCTCAAACTATAATATCCTCTCTGGTGTTCGCACGGCCTGAGGTACGTAAATAATCCAGCACACTCTCCTCTCTTACGTTTACCACACGGCTTCAACAAGCTGGACACCATTAACGACGCTTATATGCATTGAAGATTACATTTTCTATAAAAATTTGTATATGTTTTTATGCAATTCTAGAAAAAGGGATTTACAAATTAAATTTATATTCTATTAAGCATTTTCAACAACGCAATATATTTTTCTGATTAGCAACATCATAATGTATTTACATTTTATATCTGTGACAATATAGATTTCTGTGCTTAGAGCTTCTATGTCCAGTTGAGCAAAAAAAACTTGTGATATCCCCCAAAAAACACTTACGTGTAACAAACTACGCCAAGTACAGGAGTGCTGTGTATTCCTCTAATAAAAAGTATTGATATCAGATTATTGAGGCCAAGTATATAAGTCACTACATGTTTGCCTATTATATGATCTAGTACTGGCCTATCATTTTAATTGTATTTTCAAAATTTCCTGTAACGTTTTCACTACTCTTTTACATTACTACTGCTTCTCGTAGTTGATTATGATTTAATGGTTATTTAATAATTAATAAAACTTCAGCTGATTCCTTATCGAGTACTACTTGGCGGGTCCGTGCATTACTTGACATAAATTTAGGTTCATTATGCCAGTCATCAAACTCAAAACTAATGTCAACTTTCTATATAGAGCTTATTAACAATAACTTGTTAATAATAAACACGGTAAAAGCTTAATAACAAACATATAGTTTTAGGATACTATTGGTACGTTCAAAGTAAGTACTTTGGAATTCCTGCCACGGACCCGCTAAGTAGTACTCGATAAGGAATCATCTAAAATTTTATTAATTATTAAATGACCATTAAATCATAATCAACTACGGGAAGTAGTAGTAATGTAAAAGAGTAGTGCAAACGTTATAGGAAGTTTGGAAATACAATCAAAATGATGGGTCAGTGCTAGATCATATACAAGGGGGATTCGACAAAATAGTATACTCTGGGACAAAGAATAAAACAAGACGATTGTAGACTAGGATTAGGTTGGCTGTCCTAACCGTAGGCCAGGGCTAACATCACCCGAAGTCTGAAATCGTTTTTTATCCCGTGTCACACACTATATTTTTCATACTGCCTGCATTGAAACTGGGAGTTTTAATGTGTAACGCCAGTAAAAAAGAGTGGCTTACAATAACCAAATGCAATTCTGAGAGGGATAATATGAAGTCAGCGACTAATTTAGCGGGCAGAAAGTAAGAGCCCTAGGAGAAAGCTTCTGCCCTAGGGCGGGCAATGGGCAAAATCGGCGTTTGTTGCCTCCTAAAAAATCGGATCGATCTGAAATTGGTTCGTTTCGACTGGCTAAACAGTCGATGAAACTGATTGTTTCAATGCAGATAATATGAAAAGTAAATTATATATGCTTGAAAGTGTATTCAAACTCTATTCTTTATCTTTTACAGAAAACAATTCTAAAATCGCATTAACACAGTTAGTAAATACAGGAGGCACCCAGGTATTCATAAATCTGTTAGTTAATTTGCAGTATAGAGATTCTATTATGGCGGATGCAATTGTTCAAGACGTCCTATGGGTTTTAGGACAGGTAATAAAATATTACATTTTTATTGCATTTTATTACAAATTCGTAATAAAATTATTTTCCAGATAGCACAAAAAGACCACAAGTTTGCAATGAAGGTGAAACTATTGAATTCCACAAAGCTCTTTCATTATTTATTGAAGCAGTATTACAATCATGATAACGCATTGCAGTCCTTATTAATGATTATAAAAAATCTAGCAAATAATTGTGAGTAATTAATTTTAAATAATTATAACTAGTTAAACAATTTTTGGATTCATCACAGCATCTTCGGTGCAAGCACTGGTGAAGGACGGTATCGTTGCTACATTTGAGAAGACACTTGTCTATCTTGGTCACACGCCTCATCTGAAACTTAAAATACTTCTTGAATGTTTTAAACAGTTTACAGTTAGCAGTACGTATATGAATAACGCTGCATGAAATTTTGTCTAGAACATGAAGTTTCAAAGTACATGCGAGTATCTCGTTTCAGGGCTCTGCTGTACAAAGTTTGTGAAAGTTGGACTGGTGCACTTATTAATGCAAACGTTTGAGAAATGGGAAAAATTTGACGGACAGCTCACGTTGAAAATATACAATTGCACTTTAAATATATTACAGCATCTTTGCCATATAAGTAAGTCTCTGTGTATACTGAGCGGTATTAATGGCATCTCAGAGCGAAGTTAGAAGAACAGTGGCAAATCGAGAGTAGTGGGGATAGCCTTTTCCCCTGGGTTGGGATACCATTTCTGTCACGAGTCGGAGGAGTCCCGTATAACAGTGTGTCTCTCGTTCCTAGGGACGATTCCCTATGAGACTCTCTCACTCGTTGTTATTTGGTGGCGTAGCAAGTCCCTGTAGCGTGTATAAGAGCATTTCACTTAAAACAATGGGCTCTCGTGCTTCCACTAATACCTCAGCCACCGGCAAGGAAGTTCGCCGATAGAAGCTGTGAGTCCAAGCGAGATCCTTTTATAGGGAGGGTGCGAGTGCATAAGCGAGGCACTCTTATACGTGCTACAGGGACTTGCTACGCCACCACTAACAACAAGTGAGAGGGTCTCATAGAGGATCGTCGCTAGGAGCGAGGAAAACGCTATTATGCGGGACTCCTCCGACTCGTGATATAAATGGCGTCCGAGCCAGGGGAAAAGGCTACTCCCGTTATCCTCTGGTCTGGCTTCCTTGTAATCTGCTGGCTTTGCCACTCACTTTGCCACTGTTCCCCTAACTTCTCTCTGCGACGCCATTAATGCCGCTCAGTGTACATGTCCATACTAATGGTTACGGTCACGTAACAGTTATCGCTAGAACGTTTTAAAAGGGTCTCTATCCTGTTAATTTTCTGTTTTTTTTTTTTTTTTTAGGATCAGGAAGAAAAACGATTAAATCCAATGATGGTTTACAATTGCTTTATACATTTTGTACTAACTGCCCTGAAGACAAATCATATGATCGCTTATTGTTCCGTGTGTGTGGAATTATTAATCAATGTTTGGAGAAGAAAGAATTACCGGTTCCAGAGATGTCTCCAGCAAGGTAAATGCCATGAAAAAACCGTATAGCATTGGTTAAAGTTTATTGTTGTATACGGAATGGATTCCGATCTCACACACAAGGTATTCTATTGAGGCAGTTGGCTTTATCGATCAAAGCTCGAAAACATGCCTATAACCGACGGGCTTGGTCAAACAACCCCCCCGCCCCCCCCTTTCCCGAGTCTCATGTATTTGAACCGATCAGCGTTTTTTTATGACATGTAAGAAGGCACACAACTTCCAGCCAATTAATCGTTAATAAATCGTATTTTTCTATAACACATCTTCAGTTAGCCGTTATGACCGAACCCACGTCGCAATAGGTTATAGGCCTAGTATAATAACGTAAAAGATATTTTCGGGAAAAAATTCTCGCAAGTCTGAAATTTCACTGAACGTTGTTTTTGAGGTTATATCCCCGCCAGAGTGGAACAAAGGAAAACATAACATAAACGATGAAATGGAAGGCGAGTTAACTAGGGTGGTAAAGTTAAATAACATCGAAAACTAAGAAGCCTGGAGATTCCAAATTCGGATCATCATAAATTCGTACGGCGTGTTGAACATCGCATTGGAGACGGAGGTGAAAGTAAAGGATCCGGGCGACGCGGCTAACGAGCATGCGTGCGCCGAATACAAGAAAAAGCTTACAGCATGAATGAAGGCCGATGCAACAACACAAAAGGTGATCGTGGGTATAGGAAACCAGCCCATGCACTATATAATTAACTGCCCAACGGCATCTGAGATGTGGCCTAAACTAACGTCCATCTACGAGCAGAGATCCGATGCAAGCGTGCACATACTGCACCAAAACTAGTATAATGCAACTAAACAAAACTCAGATGACATCGAAAAGCACATTCCAGCTTGGAGGAAATAGCACACAGTTTGAAACTGGTGGGTAAGCAAATCGCTGATTCAATGATAATCACAAAAATCCTAATGACCTTGCCAACCAGCTACCGGTACTTCGTTAACGCTTGGAAATCGATGCAAGCGGGAGACCGCATGCTGGAAAATCTAGAAGCTGGATTTATGACGGAGGAAATTAGGCACATTGTCTGACAGGACAAAAATGGAAACGAATTTACCTCAGGTGCACAGCAGGGAAGGTCAAGATGTGGCGAGAGAAACTGATCGAGGGGCACAACAAAACCAGCTAACTGCTATGTGTGTGGGTAACCCGGATACTGGGCCAGAGAGCACCAGCAGCGGCAGGACAACAGCAACCGAGGTTGCCGAGGAGGCTCAGGGGCCCTTGGGAGAAAATTACATGACCAGGCCATGATAAGTGAAGCACTCACATCAGCAATCATGGAGAATACAAGAGATGCAGGGTAGTATCTGAACTCCGGAGCCAGTCATTACATATTTGTCATTACAAGCCAGTCATTACAATCGAATTAACTCGTTCACAACATACGAAGGCCTCGATTTCTCAAAAAATGTATGCATTGGGGATGGGAACTGCATCCCAGCCATTGAAAGGAGATCAGTAAACATAATCATGTACGACGGGAAAAATTGGAATGAAAATCACCTCTTTGATGTATTATTCATACCAAAATTATAATGTAACGTGCTTTCACTCGATGCAGCAACAGACAAAGGCTTGAGGACAAGCCTCCAGTCGACGGACACAACGTGCGAGCTAACGAAAAATGAACGCACATTCGTCACGAGATGACGTACTGGGAAGCTTCATGTCATGAACTTCCAAATCAGTGAGCCAAAGGAGTCAAGATGGAAGCAGAACCCCCCTCGAGCGCTAGTAGGCTGTATCAACACGCTGCAAGAATAGCATAAAAGGCTTGCACACTAGAACTTCAGACACGTAAGACAAGCACTCAATAGACTTCAGATTCCCGTGAGTGAAAAGAATAACCCGTTCTGCGAGGCTTGCTCGAAAATGAATGGGATCGGCGAGATCCTTCACGCCTCTGTGGACCCATGCCGACAAATTCGCTAGGAGGATCAAGATATTATCTGCTGCTGAAGGAAGACTATTCTCATTATCGGTAAGTATACTTCATTGAAAGTAAGTCTGAAACTGCGAGCTGCATCGAGAATTTCAAACAAACAGTGCCTGGGAGGTAATCAAGTATTCCGCACAGATAACGGGTTAGAATTCATCAATAACGAGATAAAAAAATTGAATTAGACACCAAAGGGCCGTGGCGTACACACCATAGGAAAACGAATTGGCAGACGGCGACAGTCGCATGCTGAATCAGATAGGACGAACGCTACTACTAGTCAGCGGGCGAGGAACAAAGTTCTAGGTGGAGGCGATCAACACAGCCGTGAGTATTTTTAAATAGAGCAGGACCAACAGTTTAAAGAGTGTGACACCGTCAAAGCTATCGTCCTATAGGAAGTCAAACATAGAAAACCTGCACATTTTTGGCGAAGAAGTTTTTGTCCACGTGTCGAAGGAAAAACGCAAAGCTCTGGATGCGAACACCAGAAGAGAGCATTTTGTCGGCTACGGTAAAGGTGCAAAAAGGGTATCGTGTATGGTAACCCGACCGCAACGAAGTAAAAACCGTCAGGGACATAGTTTTCTCCGGACGAGCGAAATTTACCGCACAAGAAGAAAAGAACGGCGATCAACTGCTGATCGGCCAATACACATGCTCGAATGAGAGTGAAAAGGAAGGAGATGATGGCGAAGCGGCAAAAGAGGCCAGGGAACAGCAAGAGGAACAAAATATCGAATACGAACCTGAAGAGGCAGAAGTAGAGGCATGATCTGAAAATGAGGAGGATCGAGCTCAACGAGAAAGTCGTTAGTTATGAGATAGGGCGATGTTGCAACGCCCCATCAGATACTGATATCAGGATATCGACAACCTATTCCTGGCCGAGACACAAGAATCCCTCTCCTACAAAGAATTTATACAAAGCAGCGACGCTGTATAATGGAAGAGAACGATGGATGAGGGGTTCGAATCTCTTACCAAAAATCCTCTGTGGGACCTCACAAACGAGGCAAAAAATCAGAGAATAATAGATAGCAAATGGACCTCACAGCTGACAATAGGGGGCGTCAGAAATACTCAACCATGGAATGAGGTGAAGCATTGTGGTCGGGATGGGCCTATAAAAGAGGAGTCAATGGAGATTAATGGGCTTTTTTCCTCGGGACTACGTTGGTGGGACGACTTGGACGCCAGACCTCGACTCTGAGTCATCAGATAAGCATTGTTTTTATCATAACGGTTTAGATACTAGTTTTCCTCGGACCAATAAACCAAGCGACTATGTTTATATCGTTTTAAGTTATTCCATTTACCCTCAGTGCTGTCCCCCTTTTTATAATAGTTACGACGTTTCAACGCATTCATTGTTATAACAATGTTTTTGTAATTGTTTAAGTCATCCTGGGTTACATAAATCTCATTAGATATCTTCCTGAATAAGAGTTCAATCAAACAATTAGTTTTCGGATAACGGAGAGAGAGAGAGAGAGAGAGAGAGAGAGAGAGAGAGAGAGAGAGCCTGTCAATATAAATTGAGACATCGACATATACATATAATACTTAAATGCTAAACTTATCGTTGGTTAATATACGCTTACTAGATATATTATTACTATTCTTATCCTAAGTTACTACAAGCTAGTGTCCGGCCTCTAGGAGATGTGCATGCAGAGCATTTTTAAATGACCCCAGTGTGGGCTTTTCACGAATACCAATGGGTAGTGAGTTCCATAGCCTAATTGTAAATTGTAATGGCAGTCAAAAAGTTTTGGACATATATGCATACTCCACCACCTTGCTTGCCTACTCTGTCACATCGTATAAGATTGTAGCCAGGCAGGTTCACGATACTATCATCGATGTGCGGCTTAAGCCATGTCTCTGATACCAAAATTATGCTGTCATGACCGGTGCAGAAATAGTCAATAAACTCGTCGCGATGTGCGGTGAGCGATTGTGCATTAACGTGACAGATAGCAAGTGAGTGTGCGTGTTGATTTTTGGTGAGAGAGTTACTTTGTGGTGGAGCTTCCGCGTTTCAACCATTTGCTCTATATCCTGATTATTTACAATAGTAATGACAGAGGAGTTACTATCCTTTTTTACCCTAATAATGCCGTTCCGCACCCACACATATCGGTAATTCTTAGTCTTCGCTGCTTCGCGAGTGGCTCGCAACAGTTTGTGTAGATCAGGCGGCAGGAACTCATTGATATATACATTTGTATCCGGGAAGCCTGCATTGATTTCCTGCGCTTTGACAGTGCCTTTCATACGCTTAGCGAGCAATATCAAGTCTCTTATTACCGGAGAACAGACACTGACTAAAATCGTTCTGGGCCTGTCAGTGGCAACGGAGTTACGCATGCGCGAGATATCCATGATTTGTCCGCTGTCGACCGTGGCCTTGAGGGCCGACAATAACGATAGTACAGCCTGTCGATCACTAATATTATCAATCTCAGGTATGCCCGATATGGTGAGCATATTGCTATATTGCTTATATTCAAGGGCTCGAATCCGTGCAGTCAGAGGCTGGACAGCTGCTGTTACGTTAGACTCAGATCCAGATTGTTCAGTTAGCCGAGTTTCTAGTATTGAGAGCCTATCTCCTATAGCCTTATCATAATCGGTAATACGTCTCTTAACTATCCCAACGCGCTCCGATAGTTCGTCATGTCCACGCGTTAATTTCACAGTAGATTCTTCGACTACATTGATTTTGTCAGTTAGCGCATTCAATTTGTTCAGGCACCCGCGGACGTCTGTCTTCAGCTCGTGTAATCCTGATAGTTGCTGCTTTATCAGTGCGACATCGCGTAATGCCGGCTCCATTCCATCAATTTTCGTATTCAGCTTTACCACAAGTGCATTCAGTGCGGCGAGCTGTGCGCCAATATTCGAAGACTGTGCCATTGATGAAAGAGAACTTGTCGGCACAGCCGACAGTGGTTCAGGGGTCGCTAATGCTATTTTAACGCAGGTGGGACATGTTGCAGTTTCAGAGTTTTCCGAGAAATCTGATCCTAAGTGATTCTTCAGACACACTGGGTGAAATCCATGATTTCCTGTGCTACATAATTTACACAATTCATCAGCGCGAACAAATTTGAAACATAGGCCACAATTGACATTGCATATCGTCACGTGTAGTATGGATGTCACAGCCGCACTAAGTGAAAAATTATAGATAGTAGTGTTTACGTTTAGATTGTAATCCCAGGCGTGAAGAGTGGGGCAACAGTAGGTATAATTAGTCCTTAGTTATCACACTTAGCGCGTGGTGTTGCTGTGCGGTGAGGATGAGCCCAAAGTCGTGTGCGATGATGTGAGAGAAACGTGCCTTTGAGTGTCTAGTGTAGGTAGTGTTATGATCGTGTCCAGATCAGCCAATGAACGTGACAGTGAGCCAGGTTGTGCCGCCAAATTGATAGAGTGACAGTAGAGGTTAGAAGACATGCCTCAGATAAAATGACTTGTTAACCCGCAGCTTTGCTGTAGAAGCATCGCCGAGTATGCTCATCAAAAACTTGAGCCACGGGACAAGCCAGTAGGCTGCAACAAAGGCCGACACGGGGCACGAGAACAGCAGAAAAGTTGCGAAAAGAGAGAACAAAAATCAGTGGGTATAAGTCTACTTACAGACAGAGAGAGAGAGAGAGAGAGAGGGAGTGAGAGGGAGAGGGAGAGGGAGAGGGAGAAAGAGGGAGAGAGAGGGAAAGGGAGAGGGAGAGAGAGAGAGAGGGAGAGAGAGAGAGAGAGAGAGAGAGAGAGAGAGAGAGAGAGAAGATTGATTAACTTTATTTATGCCATAGCATTGCTTATTGGCAAGGTTGAATATAGGTACATTTAAGTTTGATTACAGTGATTAGTAGGAATGATAAGCTTTGGTAAAATAGATATAATGCTATGAGAAAAAAGAAAATGAAAACTAAAATACAAAAGGAGAAAAACAAGATTATACATGCAAGAGTATGTGTTGCAGTAGGATAAACCGATACATATAATTAATCCTATAACCAAGGTACCTTATGCAGTAAAAGAACATAACTGGAGATAAGATAAGATGAGGTAAGACTATTAATTAAACCATAAAAATAAAACAATAAATTGAAAATAAGATTAGATGAAAGCGACTAAAGATGAGATAAGGTAGTTCTGTAGTGCGCAGCAAACACATTTGCTCCCTATTCTAATAGGTGCCATGAACCTAAGGAAAGACAATCTAAGACAAGTAATACGCAGCGATACCAGCAATACCAGCAATACCAAGGCAACCCAGGCCTCTCAGGCACTTTCGGACTCCTGAGCATCAAGTACAAAAAGATGAGAGGAGAGAAGTTTTTTGAAAATAGATAAGGAAGGAGCTGAGGTAATATGTGCTGGAAGAGACCTCCAGAAGTACAGCGCAGAAAGGTGAAATGAATTACGGTAAGTAGTAGTGCGGTGTTGGGGGATATCAAATGACAAAGCAATTGACTGGTGCCTTGTTGGATAACGACCAATCGGATCTCGCCGCGCGAAGAGGTCTTGAAGATAGGAAGGAGAGCTCATATAGAAAATTCGGTAGGTAAGGACGCCTAGAAAATAGAAACTCCTATTCTTAACTGTCAACCATTTGAGTCTCAGTCGATAGGGGGTAATGTGCTCATCCCGTCGCAAATCGAATATAAAGCGGATGCTCATATTCATCAGCCGCTGAAGTTGCAAGTCAAGAGAAGCTGTGGGGTTAAGAAATACATTGCAACAGTAGTCCAGATGAGGAAAGATGAGAGTGGATACTAGCTTGATTCTGAGGTCACGAGACAATGAGTTTTTGTAATGCTTAAGCCTATGTAGTGCAAAATGCACTTTTTGAGAAATTAGAGCAACATGCCTTTTCCATGATAAGTCAGAATACAACATAACACCTAGATTGCGAACAGTGTTGACGACTGGTACTTGAATGTTATTAATTAACACTGGGGGAAAGGAGACGAAGTCCAAGGTCCGGATATGAGCGTTGCTACCTAAGAAAAGTATTTTAGACTTGGCAAGGTTAAGTTTCAATTTATTGTCGGTGGCAAATTCGAAAATTCTGTGTGCATCTATGGAGACTAGATCAAAACCCTGATCAAGTTGACTGGGAGGACAGGAGAAATAAATTTGAGTGTCATCCGCATAGATCATGTGTTGACTGTGATGTAGGCGAGTGGCTATGTCGTTGATGTAAAGAGAAAATAAAATAGGACCGAGGACTGAGCCTTGCGGTACGCCAGTCGTCGTCGGTAGCCAGCTAGAAATGATTGTGTTATCATTAATAACCGCTTGTGATCGACCTGAGAGATAAGAGAAGAACCAAGCTAATGTAGAGGGGGAG